TTATTAGTTAGTTTTATTATTAAATATTTTTATTAGTTAAATCTAATAAGTTTTTGTATTAATATAATTTAGATTAAATTAGTTTGTAAAATTTATATAAAATAAAAATAATAATAATTTTAATAAAATGTTATTATAATTAATTAACTTAATTATAAATTTTTTTTGTATTTAAAATATTTAAAAAATTAGAAGTTTTATAAAAATAATTATTATTTGAATAGTAAAATAAATTTGTTATTATTTTATAAATTAAAATTATAATAGTCAATTGTAATAGTAAAAATACAAAACTAAAATATTAACCATAAAAATATTCATATTTATTAAAATTTGTACTCTAACCTTTCTAATTATAATTTTTATTTTCTATTAAATTTAGGATAAAAAAGTAATGAAAATTATATTACAGTTTATTTATTTAAATAAAATAATTTAATTATTTAGAAATCATTTAATGGACATAATTTTTATTAAAAATTTAATTTTATTTAGACATAATATTTTAAACAAATAACTAAATTTAAAACAATGAAAAAAACCACTTTATAAAAATGACAATGTTAATAATAATATTTTAACACATATTACATGTTACATATACAATTAAACGAAAAATAACTTAAAATTCAAAAACATTTAATATATTTAAATAAATTGATTTTTTTTTAAATAAATTAAATCATATTAAATATAATTTAAAGCATGGCTATAAATTTGATCAATTAGATATATCTAGTTTAACCTAAAAAATTATCTAGATGCAATTATTCTACCCATTATTTAGATTATTTAGATCATAATATTGGTAATTAATTAAAAAACTGTAATTGATATATTATAATTATTAATCATTATATTACATGTAAACAGTATTAACCAAATAGTATGCGAAAATAATGATAATTTACTAATCAATAAATTTTTATTTATAAATATATATATATATATATATTTATATTTATTTTTCATATAAATTTATGCTTCAATTTATTATAGTATATATATATAGTTAATCTAAGATAATAAAATATTTTAGTTTAATATTATTTGATAATTAAATTAGATAAGACATATTTTATTATATTTTTTGAAAATTAAAAATAAATTATAGTAAAGTTATAATAATATTTTTATAATAATATAAAATTGTAATAATAAATATAAAAAATAGATATATATATATATTGTATCTAAATTATGGTGATTTATTGGACACTAATTATAATTTATATTACTATTTAATATATAATAAAAAAGTAATAGTAATTAAAATTAAAGTTTACTTATTTAAAAATAAACTAATTATTTAAGTAATGTATAGTAAGTTTTATAACTATTTTATTTGATTTAAACATAATATTATATTATTATAATATTATACTTTTATATTAAATATTTAAAAAAAGATCTATAAAAAATATAGATATTGTATTTAATTTAATCCTTATTTAGTGTTATCTAATTATAATTTATATTTTTATTTATTTAAAAAAACTACTTATTTATAAAAGTTTGTATATTTATATATAATTATAATTATTATATCAATAAAAAACTTTAAATCGTTTATTTTGAAAAAATTATTAAATTTTTTAATTAATGACTTAATTAATTAACTAATGATAGGTAAGGCACTAATGGCTGCCTATTATAATATATAAATAATAAAAATTTAAATAATTATTTATATATTTATTATTGATTATTTGTTTTTTGTTATTATTAATATTTAATTAATATTTATATAATAGTTTATATTAAAATTAAAATTATATATTGATATATATAATTGCAATTAATTTATGGTAAAATATATAGTATATATAAGTTTCTAGTATATATTTAATTTATATTTTAGTGATAATTTATTTTATTTTAGAAATTATTTATTATTTTAATATAAAGTTAATTATAATTTACTAAAACTGTAACGTTTTTTACAGTATATTAATAATGAAATATACAACAAAAAAACTAATATTTATTATAATAATTTCAATTAAAAAATTATAATTATTTTTTGGGACAGTATGAAAAAAATTACTTTTTTTCATACTGTCCCTTATTTTTTAAGTCAAAATAAATTTATCAGTATTTGTTAATTTAAAAATCTATACATTGAAAAAACAATTATTTGTTTATTTTTAAATTATGTAAAAATAATTGTTTTGTTTTATAAAAATAAAAATTTAATTTAATTCAACTTTTATAGTTGATTATTAAATAAATTATGATTAGTAAAAAATAGGAAAATCATAATCATAATAATAATAATACTATTTAATTTGGTAACTGTAATTTAAAATATTTTATAAAAATCTAAAGTTTAAAATTAACTTATTTAACTTTTTAACTTGAATATAAGCTAAGATTTAATTAATTTTTTTTATAAATTTTTATTTAAAACTAATTTCTCATTGAATTATTTTATTATTATTATTGTTATCAACAATACAGTATATATTGTAATAATAAGCTATAATGCATATTATTTTATTTTTTATAAAATTCATACTTAATTTATTATAGTATTTATTATAATAAAGTATTTTAGAGTAATAGTAAAATGTAATATTAGATAAATTTTTTTTAAAGATTATTTAAATTTAATTTATATTGTATCTAGATTAGTTAGACAAATGGATAATTTATTATTTTTATTTATGATAGCTTAGAAAAATTATTAATTAATAAAAATTATTAAATTATTAGTTATCTAAATAAATTAATTAGTGATTATATATTTAAATTTATTTAAACTTAATAATTATTTTTTTTAAAAAGTTAAAAAATAATTAAAAGTTTTGTATTAATAAATAAACAAGCTGTAAAATTTATATAAAAATTAAATAATAACTATTTAGTAAAATTATTATTTTAATTGTTTAGTATTAATAGTTACCCTGTATTTTATTGTATATACTATTTTTAGATAAATTGCAAATATTTTTAACATATTTTAAATATATTAAATTTAATATAAAATATGATTTTTTTACTTAAATCAAGTATTTATAATCATTAAAATTAATTAAAAATACATTGACAATAAAATCAATTTATTTATTTTTTAGAAAAACAATTATCTAATAAAAATATTTTTATAACATTATACTCATAAACTATAAGTAATTTATAACTTTTTTTAAATAATTTTTTTACCAAAAAAATTTAACAAATGTTAACATAACAGCTAATTAATATAATAACTATATTTTCATAAGTTTCATAAATTAGATTTTAAATAATTAAACTGTAAATTTTACATTAATATTAAAATATTAACTAATCATTAAAATTGTTTAATAATAAACTAGAAAAAAACAAAGGAGAAATTATTATAGTTTTTATTGAAAATACAATTATATTTATTATATTATTTTAGTTAAAAAACTAAATATTTTTATTTGAAGACAAAAACAAAACAAATATACTTTTTTTTGAAAAATAGTATTAAAATTAAAACAATTGATTGTTTTGAATAAAATTTAGTATAAAAAATAAATTTTATTTGAAAACTGTAACTCAGATTAATTAATGTTATTTTATGATTAAATGTAAAATATTGTTATTATATTAATTATTACAAAAGAATTTATATTTTATTACATTTTTTTAATAAAAATTTTAACATAATTTTATAAAATAGAAAAATGTTAATAATATTATATACATAATTATTGAATAATTAAACAAACAATTAAAAGTATTAAATATATTTTTAAAAATATTACTTAAAATATTTTATTTTAAATATAAATAAATTTTTGATAATTTTTTTTAGACTATATTGATTTTAGTTTTTAATTCAATTAAAACTGTGAAATTTTAACCTAATAGAAACATTTCATTTATAACTATATTTTAAAAAAAAATAATTAAAATATTTTACAACTACTAGTTAATCATATATTTTATGTTTGCTTAATATATAAATTTTTATGTATTAATTAATATTTATAAAAACAAGATTAAGATATTATTTAATCATTATATTTAATTAGTTAAATATAATTGTAATTATAGATTGACAAACAATTAGCCATTAAATAAGTTAATAAGTTTGAGCACAAAGGTGGGGGGGGGGGGGGGGGGGTAGACTAAATTATAGGTAGGTGCCCATAGCCCAGGCAATTGCATATATAGTATTAGTAGTCAATATAAAAATACATACTGTATATATCTATTAAATTTAAAATTGATTCAGTATGATTTTGGCCAGGTATGTAAATATATATATATTAATTAATTTAGTAGTATTTTTTAAAAAAAATAATTAATTATCAATTTAAATAGTTATTTAAACTACCTTTTTTAATTGAATAGTTAATTATTTATTGATTAGATTTAAATATTTTTTCAATGTTTTTACTATATATTTTAGTTATTTATTAATAAATATAATTTTATAATTATAAATAATTATAAAATTATAATAGTTTTATTATATTAAATTTGATTATCATTTTTTTTTGATTAATTATTAATTTTGCTAATATTATATTAATATTTTTATTAATTAATAAAAAAATATATATTTCATTAATTATTATGATGATTATGATAATTATTTTAACAAATAATTTATTTATTTGTTATTCATAAATAATACTAACAAACTTATAAATATATATTTTTAAAAATTTTTAGTATTTATAAATAATGTTGTTTTTTGGAAAAGTATAATTAAATAATATTTGTGTTTTATATTTTATAATTTTTATTAAGTAAATAATAATAATATTTTTTATTTAAATAAAACCAAAAATTTATATAAAAAAAAATAAAATCATTTTTAATAAGTAAACCTAAAAAAAACCTAAATGTGTGTAAAATATAAATGTTTTTATACTATAATTGGTATTATATTATTATTTAGTAATAACATAGTAAATTTTTAAAAAAAAATTTATAAAAAAAAACTAAACTATAATATAATTTTAGTTTTATTATTATTAGCATTATTATTAATAATTGATAACAACAACAAAATTAGCATGCTAATTTAATCAATTTAACACCATATATTACAGTCAATGGCCAATACAATATAGTTAATCCCAATAGTATATCTAAAAACCAGTTTATTTTCGCACGCAATTGATTTGTATCACCGGTTCGGTGAGTTCGAGACCGGATAACACTTGCGGATACTTTTTTCCTATCGTAAGCCCAACCGATTCGGGCAAACCCATCAATCAATAGTGTTGTCGGATTGAATGTCTGTTCCCAACTATACTCAGATCCCGAATAGTCCTGCGGAAAGGCGTGATGATAGTTGTGATAACCGCCGCCTAAATATAAAATAAAATAATAAATAAATAAATTGTTAATTAATAAAAATAATTAGATTATTAATAAAAATAAATTAAATAGTTTATAAATAAAACTAAATAATTATAATAGTTTAGGTTAATTATAATGGTATAAAGTAATAATTACTACTAAATAATAAAAGTTTATTAATAAAAATAAACAATTAGTTTATTAATAAAAATAAATTAAATAGTTTATAAATAAAACTAAATAATTAGATTATTAATAAAACTAAATAATTATAATAGTTAAGGTTAATTATAATGGTATAAAGTAATAATTACTACTAAATAATAAAAGTTTATTAATAAAAATAAATTAAATAGTTTATTAATAAAAAATAAATAAATAGAAATTTATTATTTTTTATATTAGTATTATTAATATTATTATTAGTTAATGTATGAAAATATTTTTTTTGAAAATAATTAATGAATTATATTTTAATTAATTAATTACTAGATTATTCCCCATATTTTTTTCCCCATTACTCTAATTAGTAATTTTAAGATATCTATAAAAAAAACTTATTATAAATAATATAAATTTTATAAATCAACAAAAATGCTTAAAAAATATTTACTTAAAAATCAATTTTTATATTAGCAATAAGTATAATTATTTTACATTAAATACTTATAATTATATATAATTAATAATAGTAACTATTATTTAAATTATTATTATTATTAAATACTAACCGAAAGCCAAATAAATTAATACTGAATTATCGGTCGGTTGTATAGTAGTATCGTAGGGCCGATAGCCAAACATATGGGCCACTGAATTAACTAGCCATGTATAATGCAATAGTATAACATAAAACAATATGTTCATCGAGGACAGGTAGACTAAATCAACAACTACCTGTCCACCATCACTACCATCACTACCATCACTACCAAACAACCAATAGGGTATACCAGTAAACATCATACCCCTAACCAATACAACCCATAGGCTGTACAGTTTACGTTGCCAATAAACAATAGGATCCTGGTCTAAATCGGACATATCAATAGTGGGTACTTTGGCCAGGTAGGCCGGATGACGTTTGTAGAATAGCCAACCTATATGTGCCCATAGAAACCCACGGGAAACGTTGGTCGGATCGGCATCCGTGTCCGAGTATTTATGGTGTAGCCGATGTTTCAGTGACCACTCGTATATGTCCTCCTGTATGGTTGCCGTTTGCAGGGTGGCCAGTATTAGCCGCAATGGCCACCGTGCTTTGTACGACCGATGAGACCATAGTCGGTGAGCACCTGTAGTTTGATTTTAAAAAAATATAATTTATTTTTATGTATAGAAATTTATGTAACATTTTTGTTTGTTTGTTTGGTTTTATGGGACAACTATGACATTAATTAATTAATTAATCAATTTATTTAATTAACTAATTATTTATTTAATTAATTAATTAACTAATTATTTATTTAATTAATTAATTAACTAATTATTTATTTAATTAATTAACTAATTATTTATTTAATTAATTAACTAATTAATTAACTAATTAACTAATTATTTATTTAATTAATTTATTAATTATTTTTTTCTGAATCAAATAGATTTTTTAAAGTATTATTATTAAGTTATAGATTGGATTTTTTTTTGTTGTAAATTTTTTTTAGTAATGTTTAGTTTTATTTTATTTATGTAGAAATTTATTCAATTTTTTTGTTTGTTTTGTTTGATGACAACTATGAGATTAATTAATTAATTAATTATTCAAATTAGAGTAGATTTTATATTATTTTAAAAGTTTAAATAATAAATAACAAATATATACTTATAACTAACTACAGTAATAATCATATATATATTTCCATTATTTAAACTATTAATTTTGTTTGTTTAATTAAACTAGCAAGGTTAACCTAATACTGTTTGTTTTTTAAATTATAAATAATTATAGTAACTATTAATACAATGATTAGTGTATGTAAATTTATTTTTAAAAACTGTAAATATTATTATTTTTTTAAAATATATATTATGTATATAATTAGTGATTTTTAGTTTGTTTAGTATATTCCAGAAAAATCTAGATTTTTAATATATATATATATTATTTTTTTGTTTAAAAATTTTAACATAATTTTTTTAAATAATTTATATATATACTGTATATAATAAATATATAATTATTAGTCATTTTAGTTTAAATATTTGTAGGATTTAATTAATTAATTACAATAAATAATAAATTTAACATATATTTACATAATTTAAATAAACTAGCAAGTTTTCAATTAATATAACTGTGTACTAAAACTTAACTAGACAAAAAAATAAAAACATAACATTTTAATTTTAAAAAAAATTTAAAAATAATAATTATAGTTAATAACTTGTCAATAGTTTAAAATATTTATTACCATATAATATAAACTATTGTTATTATTATTTTCAATTAATTAAACTGTAAACCAAACATAATTTAAACATCACATTATAATTTAAAATTTGAAATATACTATATTAGTATTGTTAACATAAAATTTTTAAATTTTATAGTTAGTATACTAGAAACATAAAATATTATATATTATTATATACAATATATAATATCAATATACGGTATATATATATATAAATTAATAATAAATATAATCATTACTAACTACAGTAATATTTAAATATATAATATGTAATAATGTATATGTAATAATGTATATATAAATATTTATTTATTTCCATTATTTAAATTAATTAATTTTGTTAGTTAATTAAAAATATCAAGGTTAACTGTATAAGTTTAATATATATATATATAAATAATTATAGTAACTACAATAATAAGTGTATTGAAATTTATTTTAAAAAACTTATTAACTACAATTATATTTAGTTTAAATAATAATAATAATAATAATAATAATAATAATAATAATAATACCGGCAATTATGCCAAACATGCACATTATATTAGCAGTTACATAGTATAGATTGATAGCCAGGTCACGGTAGCCACCAAGGGGTCGACTAAATAATAGGTAGGCGCCATAGCCAGCAATTATATGTATAGTCGATAGAAATAATACATAAAACCATTCAATTTGAAATTGGTGCGGGATGATTTTATCGGGTCGTATATAATGTTGTTTTAATTTATTAGTATTTTTTAAATCATCATTATCAATTACATTATTATTATTATTAGCTAGGTTATTATTATTATTATTATTATTGGTGATTAATTTTAATTTTTTAACATTATTTAATCTAGTTGACATTATTGTTAATTGACATTGTTTATTATTACATTCAACAATTTGTTGATCATTAATTTTACACATTTTTAAAAATTAATTATTATTTAATAATATTGTTTTTTTTATAAATTTTAAAAGTTAAATAATATTTTTATTTTGTTTTATTTTTTGATTGATAATGATGATGATACTAATTATTACTTAATTAAATAAATTAAATAATAATTTTTATTATTATTAGGTTGGTAACAAAATTAAATTAAAATTTTAAATACTGTTAGGAAATTTTTTAAGTTTTTAATTTTTTCAAATTTTAGATTAATTTTAACACGTTGTTAATCACAAAAATTTTTTTTAAAAATTAAAAATATTTAGTAAATTAATTGTAACAAAAAAAAAATACACGACACATATTTACAAATACATAATTACATACACATAGACACACAAACACACATTAATTATTATATTTAATTTAATTTAATTGTTTTAATAAATAATTTTTTTATATTAACATTTAACTATATATATACAGTATATATACTGTATATATATAACGTCAAAAGTGTGCGTGAGTTTATGCATGTAATATAATACTCAATGATTTATATATATATATTAAATATATACAGTATATATATATATTAAATAAATCAAAAAAAAATTAAAATAAAACTAATAATGATTTTTTTTAATTAAAAGTAATGCACGTATATGTATGTGTAATACTACAACAACAAAAAATGTACATGTATATTTTTGTTGTTTGATATTAAACTATTGCACTTTAACTATATATATATATATATACTTTAACACACCTTAAATAATATAAATAAATAAAAATTGTACATGATAAAATTTATAATAAAATAAAATATTTCAATATGTATGTGTCAATCATAAATCAAGTTAAACTGTAATACTATTATTATTATTATTATTAATACTATAAATAGATATAATTTTGTTTTATATTATAAACAATTAACACATTAGATTTAATAAATATTATTATTATTATTATTATTATGTATTTAATGTAATAATTTTTTGTTATCATTAAATAAGGTTTTTATTGTAACAATTTTTTTTTGTTTAYATATAACAATAATATACTGTAATAATAATAATCTATTAAACAATAAAAAAAAATTTATATTACAATATATTTGTTATCTAACATTAGTACTAACATTATAATAAATCTATATATTTATATATATATATATATATATATGATATATAATATTTTAACCATATATGTACAGTATATATACAATACATTTATATTATATATATATATATATCAAATATTACCATGACAATCTTATTATATATATATATATTAATATATGTTTGTGTGCTATATTGATAAAAAAATAAAATAATAATAAAATACAATAAATAATAATAAAATCACTGCCGTAGCAATAATACAATATATATATATATATATTGTA